ATATAGTTGCTGATTGGTGCTGGAAATGGAGACTAGTGGTAAATCAAGACAAAATTCAAATAGTACATTTCAGACAAAAATTAGTGGAGAGAAGCCCAGTTGGTTTCACTCTTGGTTCGGTAGTGCTGACATATACCAACCAATATAAATATCTTGGCTTGACATTGAATGAGCATATGACATTTAAAGAAGCAGTCAGTGTTTTGGCTCAGTCTGCGGGTAGAGCATTGGGATCTGTAATAAACAAAGTAAAGCACTGTGGTAGTTTGGGATTTCATACTTACACACAGTTTTACAATTCATGTGTGTGTCCTCTGTCAGATTATGCTAATGGTGTTTGGGGGTTCCTTGAATATAAAAGTTGTAACACTGTGCATTATAAAGCTATTCGATCCTTTCTTGGAGTTCATAAACTTACCTCAGTTTTAGCTAGTAGTGGAGATATGGGATGGGAACCTCCAAACATCAGGCATAGATGTGAAATGATTCGGCTTTGGAATAGACTTGTGAAGATGTCTGATCAAAGGTTCACTAAAATTGGGGTATCTCACATGGTCATCCTTGGGTTAAAGAGCTGAAATCCTTATTTTACTTGAATAATATGTCATTTATTTTTCAGAATAGGTTATCTTGTGATAGTCAGGAAATTAGGAGTAAAATGTTCCTTACTTATAAAGAGAAATGGTCTGCTGATATTTGGTATAAACTAAAGTTGCGAACTTACTGTCTTATAAAGAACAGCTACAGCACAGAACCCTTTGTGAGGTATAATTTTAACAAAAGACAAAGATCTCTTTGTGCACAGCTACGTTCAGGAACGTTACCTCTAGCTCTAGAGACTGGTAGGTTTAGTAACTGTCCAGAAGAGGACAGACTTTGTTTATTGTGTGAATTAGGAGAAACTGAAAACGAAGTTCATTTTCATCAGATTTTGTTTGCAAGGACTGGGAGAGAAGACAGAATATTTTGTTCAAGAATGAGGTGTTATAGTATATTTTTTTTTATTTTTTGTTATTTTAAAATGAACTGAATTGCTATGAATTATCTGTGAACGCTGCAACTATCTGTTTTGGTGTCTTATAAACCCATGAGGGTTGGGGATTTTTTGGTGCATGGCACGGGAATAAAAGAAACTAACTAACTAACTAACTAACTAACTAACTAACTAACATGGGCTCAGGAACACTTTGGAAAGTACTCATACTCGTCCGTACTCGTCGTCCTCTGCTTATCTAGGTCCGGCTCACGGGGGCAGCAGCCTCAGCAGAGAAGCCCGGACAGTCCTCTCCCCAGCCACTTCCGTCAGCTCTTCCGAGGGACCCCCGAGGCGTTCCCAGGCCAGCCGGGCGAGGTAATCCCTCCAGCGTGTCCTGGGGCAGCCCCGAGGTCTCCTCCCAGTTGGACATGCCCGGAATACCTCCCAAGGGAGGCGTCCGGAAGGCATCCTTACCAGATGCCCGAACCACCTCAACTGGCTCCTCTCGATGTGGAGGAGCAGAGGCTCTACTCCGAGTCCCTCCCGGATGTCCGAGCTCCTCACCCTATCTCTAAGGCTGAGCCCAGCCACCCTACGGACGAAACTCATTTCGGCCGCTTGTACGCACAATCTCGTTCTTTCGGTCACTACCCAGAGCTCATGACCATAGGTGAGGGTTGGAACGTAGATTGACCGGTAAATCGAGAGCCTAGCTTTCTGGCTAAGCTCCCTTTTCACCACAACGGACCGGTTAAGCGCCTGCATCACGGCTGACACCGCCCCAATCCGCCTGTCAATCTCCCGCTCCATCCTACCCTCACTCATGAACAAGATCCCGAGATACTTAAACTCCTCCACCTGAGGCAGGACCTCCCCCCCTACCTGGAGTGGGCAATCCACCCTTTTCTGGCTGAGGACCATGGCCTCAGACTTGGAGGTGCTGATTCTCATCCCAGCCGCTTCACACTCGGCTGTGAACCGTCCCAGCAAGAGTTGGAGGTCACTGTTCGATGGAGCTAGGAGGACCACGTCATCCGCAAATTGCAGGGACGAGATCCTCCTGTCACTGAACCTGACACCCTCTTCCTCTCGGCTGTGCCTAGAAATTCTGTCTATTAAAGTTATGAACAGAACCGGTGACAAAGGGCAGCCCTGGTGGAGTCCAACTCTCACCGGGAACAGGTCTGACTTACCCCTAGCAAGGGGCCACCAACCCCATACTCCCGGAGCACCCCCCACAGGATGCCCCTGGGGACACGGTTGTAAGCCTTCTCCAAATCCACAAAACACATGTGGACTTGTTGGGCTATCTCCCATGCCCCCTCCAGCACCCTGGCGAGGGTAAAGAGCTGGTCCATGGTTCCATACATTGGTAAATGGAGCTGCATTTGTATAGCGCCTTTCTAGTCATCTAGTGACCACTCAAAGTGCTTTTTACACTACAAGTCAGGTTCACCCATGACACACACACACATTCATACACTGGTGGCCTGAGGCTACCATACAAGGTGCCACCTGCTACTCAGTTTTAACACACTCACACACCAATGGAACAGCCATCGGGAGCAATTTGGGGTTCAGTATCTTGCTTAAGTATCTTTGACATGCAGCCTGGAGGAGCCCGGGATCGAACTGCTGATCTTTGGATTGGTGGACGACCTGCTCTACTGCTGAGCCACTGAGCCTCCTCAGTCTGAGGTTCAACTATCGGCCGGACCCTCTTCTCCAGCACCCTGGTCTACTCCACTTTGGAAAGTTTATTAATTAAATGTCAGTGTATTGAACCCAAATTAAAATCAGATATGGTGGTTATATATATACTGCAATATGAAATCTCTCACACAAAATACCCATCAAGTCAAGAGAACTGAAATTTAAATTCAGAGTCCTTATATGAAAATCTAACCCTATCTAAAGACATAACTCAAATGAAGACGACAGATAACCAGGGATCCAGGGATCAACACACCTCCAGCAACACCATGTTGTCCAGTAAGTTACGAAATCCAGCTGGTTCTGGGATCAACTGCTGTTCTGACTACTTTTATATACATTACTGTTCTCTTGTAGTGAAAAGACACCCAGAAACTGATTTGAACTCCACATAATCTCCTCCTTTTGTCACTCTCACTCCTCTCTGTTGTCCTTCCGGCTGCCTTTGTAAGTTGAGTTTGTTTTTTATTTTCAACCCAGCTGCCAGCAATTATCACCCTCTCTTCTGCCTGCCACACCCACTCCCTCACAGCCATCCTCTGCTGTGCAGTAAAGGAGCAGTCAGCTCTTTTTTGGCTGGCTGCTCCACTCTCCCCTCCTTGATGGAAAAAAACCTGTTATGTTTCTTTGTTTTTCACATCTTCAGAAAAGTTCTGATGGATGTCCACAACCCTCTTCAAATCCTCACTACTGGGAAAAAAAGAGTTTGCAGACATTCACTGTTCAAACATCCTTGCCAGTTTTCTTACAATACAATCTGGTAATTTATGGGTTCCAGCTGAGCAGGCTGTTCTCATAAACTGTTTTACATTTTCCAAAAAAAGTAATGCACCCCAATTCATACATATTCCATGTATGTTGAAATCACGCGACCAGTGCGCAGATGGGAATAAACAAGGAAGCAGTCCCGAGTGGTCTTGTAAGGAGGCTTTCCCCCCTGACTTTTCCCTGGAGACATGTATTTGGAACCGTGTGAACTTTGAGTGAACTTTGAGTTATATTAACATACATCCTCACTACTTCGCAGTCAACTTGGCCATGAGTTTGTCCTTTGCCCTGCACTGTGGAAAGTGTCTGACCAACACTCTATCCTTAGATCTGAAACTGACATCTCACCTTGCTTTAATGTAGTTCCATAACTGTCATTTTCATGCCTTCTCCCCACTTTCTTTTGCCTTGCAAAGAATTTAGTGATTTCACCATCTACAATAAAAAGCAAACTCTTTTATATGCATATAGGGCCCAGGGGTATAATGAGATTACTGTTCAATGTGATATTGCCACAATAATTTTCCTCACCTGTCCACAATAACAGACAGATATAAAATAAATATAATAAATAAATAAATAATTTCCCCTCGGGGATCAATAAAGTATTTCTGATTTCTGATCAGAAAACTGTGTGCCAGTTATAAATTTTGCACTATATTTAATCTCATTCTTTTTTTCTTGCTTGCTCCATACTTCATCACATTGAAACTTAGCTTATCAAATAAGGAACAACAAGCTAGCATATTTTTGAAGCTGTATGTAATGACCCATGTAGCCGTAACTCCAGCAGGAAATATGTCAGCTCTCATTACTAAAAAGAATGCAGATGCACCTATTTGGCAAATCTTTGGTTTTAAACCAGACCAAAAAGGAGAGCTAGGGAAGTTGGAGGTTTGGTGCCTTGCTCAGGGAACCTTGCTGGTGCACAGGAGGTGGACTGGCACCTCTCGAGCAACTTGTGCTGCAACCCTTCAGTTCTCAACCCATGTCCCTATGGAGTGAGCTACTGCCACCCCAAGTGAATGACATTGATCATCTCATTACAATGCAATGTTCAGATGGGAAGTCCTGGCATTCATGTAAATGCCGCTTCATGTGCTCCAACAACCCAAACAATGTTGCAGACCAAGTACACCCTGGCAAGGCAACAGCACTCTCTGATGGCAGTGGACCCCCCAGCAGGAAAATGCACCATGCCACACCGTACCAACCGGAGATATTCTGTTTCTCAAGTAATTGTGAAGTTAAGGCCTTCAAAGCATACAAAAACATCTCAGTGCAATATCATTTTTAGATTCACATAACCTCAAGGAGTTTGGAAAGAAAGGGAGCCATTAAGCCTACACTTTTGTGTGTACTAGACAGCTTAGTGTGGTTTGTACCTGATTCAAGGTCAGCTGGCAGAGTTTGGAGTGTGTGTGGAGCTTGAATGGAGTCGAATCGATATGAAGCTCAGGTTTCAGTAGACCCGAGTCCTCACTGGGGACCACATCCAGGGATGAGGAAAAAGCTGCAGGTATCGACCAATGGCTGCTCTTACCTTGATGAGAGCCTCCAGCTCGTCTGGGGACACACATGGGTGTTTCTGCAGGAAGGCAGCCTTCTCTGCTGTGATGGTGATCTTCTGGTTGTTTTCAAAGGGTTGCTCCAGCGCTCGAAACACCAAGCCCCCCGCCACCAGGTAGGCCACCACCACTACAAATACCGCCAGCACCGTCTTCAGCTTCATCATGGTGAAGGAGGCTGAGCCATCGGCCACCGCCTCCATGCTGGTCACCATGCTGGGGGGACGGGCAGACACAGAAAGCCGTGGCAAAGAGCAGCCCATCGGGTTCTGCATGGTGGCCACGCTGGCGTGCACCAAGCTGGACTGAAGCATGCCTGGCTGCACCTTCTTGGGGGGGACCAGGTTGGTATGGACTTCCACTGAAACAAAAGACAAAAAAACAACAGAGTGATGTGTGCTGTAACATCTGTACAATATAGTGATGTTTCCTGCTGATGAACACTCTAATAAGCAACAAGTGAACAGCATGGATGAAGTTTCAGATGAGCACTAACAAGGAGAGTTTGATTTTAAAATGTCTGCTGTTCATTAAGGGGAAAAAGAGTTGGAGGGAAAAAGAAAGAGAAAAGGAAAGAAAGTTCTTGTCATTCCATTGATCTCAGGAGGCCATCATTCCATGATTCATATTTGCCTGTTTGATAGAAATGAGGGATGTCTGCATCAGGGCAGACATGTAGAAGAGAGGGGACTCTAATGTGTTTTCACAACAGCTATTAAGCCAAGCTATAGAGTATGTGATAGTAGAGTGTTCCACATGGCTGCTGCATCAACCTCTGCTTGCAAACACTGCTGGAAAAACAACAGGAGGAAACCACTGAGAACAAATGAACAAACATGACTTACAAACAAAAGAGAAACCCTCCTGTCTAAATGCATAAACATCCTATAACTATTCCATATGTATTTACATACAGATTGATTATATTTAAAGTAGAACTCTACATATTTTACATGTGAAAGACAATTTAGTAGTCATGGTTAAATACAAAACGTGCGTGCTACGAACTGGGAGTACGGAGGGAGATGAATGTCAAAACACCACAACCCAGTGTCTTTTTTGTAAGCTTACACAGAGGCTGTTTCTTGACTTGTGTCATTGTGGGTGAACACTCATCAGAAAAGAATTTTTTTTTTAAAATAGATTTTCTCCACAGACCAGCATATTACAGCTACTGTATCCTGGCCATTTCTTCTGTTTGCATGAGGTAGCTGATGTATGCTATGGGTATCAACTGAAGTGTGTCAAATGATGTACCGCCTCTGCTGCATTAATTTTGACAACATCAAAATTCTGGGAGCAGACTATCACATGGCTGACACGCCAGTTTAGGATCACCAGTTGACCTAACCTGCATGTCTTTGGACTGTGGGTGGAAGCCAGAAAACCCGGAGAAAATCCACAGAGACATGGGAGGAACATGCAAGTAGAACTTTACTTAACTTTACTTTATGTTGTTTTTGTCATCAATGGGGCAATTCATTTGTGTGACATGACATATAACATATAACGTGACATATAAAACAACAAAACACAGAGGCAAGGCACAGATATACACAAATAATTTAGGCACACTAGGCATGATACTACAGCCATACAGTAACATAAGAGCATCATAAAATCATTATTAAGATCAAAATCATTAAAAATCATTAAAATCGTTAAAAGGCCGGTAAAAACAAAACAAAAAAAAACAGTGCAAAGTGGAAATCACTGCTACAAGTTACCTCTTCCTTCTGGAGTTAAGAAGGGAGATCGCAAAAGGAATAAAGGAATGTTTATATCTGTTGGTTTTGATTGGTGGCAGTCTGAAAAGGGAACCTGATGGGTGGAGCTCCAGATATTGATAAAGGGAATGGGAGCTGTCAGACAGAATGGAGTTCACTTTATTGTACACCCTTTTGTCGTACATTTCCTGCAGAGGTTCCTGGTTCATGCCAATTATTTTGCCCAACACTTTAACCACTCTTGATAAAGAGTTTTTGTTTTTAATGTTTAAGGATTGGAACCAACAGCTAAAGGAAAAAGTGATTACAGACTCACTAAAGGAACGGTAAAACAAGCACATCAGGGTCTCATCCACCTGGAACCTAGCCAATTTTCTAAGGCAATACAAGCGCTGCTGACACTTCTTATAAACAGAGTCAGTGTTACACTCAAAAGTCAGCTTATTGTCAAATATGGTGCCCAAATATTTTTATGACTCCACAACTTCAATTTCCTGCCCATTGATATCAGTGCTGACAGGTAAAGGTTTGGAGCGTCTAAAATCAATCAGCATTTCTTTTGTCTTTGTCACGTTTAATGACAAAAAATGCTTCTTGACACCAGGTGGTAAAATAATGAATAACTGGGCCATGGGCATTCTCATCTTTGTTACGCAGGCTCACTATCACCGTATCATCAGCAAACTTCACAATATGTCTGGCGCTCGTTCTCTTTTTACGCTGTTTGAATACGTTTGTGACAGTGTGGACATTAAAAGAAATACCTACATCACTGGAATCAGCTAAAGATTTCCTTAAAAAACCTACTTCATTGCTGAAATCATGCACATAAAATCTACAATAAAAGTTATTTAGCTTGTTTGCTAGAATTTGATCTAGTGCCACTTTATTTTTTTGTTATTGGCTTGCCCGGTCATAATCTTAAGGCTGTCCCACACAGAACTCAAACTATTGTTACTTAATTTATATTCAATTTTCTGTTTATATTGTAACTTAGCCTTCTTTATCTCTTGTTTAATTTCTTTTTGGACAGCCTCAAGCTCTGAGAGATTTCCCTTTTTAAAAATTGACTTTTTCTTATTTAGTAGCATTTTCAAGTGCTTGCTCACCCAAGGTTTACAATTAGGGAATATTTTAACCGTCTTTACAGGGATGACAATATCCTCACAATAGGAAATCCAAGAGCTGACCACATCAGTCAGTTCATCAATGTCAGTGGAAGATTCCTGAAACACCTCCCATACGGTACTCTCCAGACAGTTCTGAAGTGATGATATACAGTATCTCACATAAGTGAGTACACCCCTCCCATTTTTGCAAATATTTCATTGTATCTTGTCATGGGGCAACACTATAGAAATGACACTTTGATATAACTTAAAGTAGTCAGTGTACAGCTTGTATAGTAGCATAGATTTACCTTCCTCTGAAAATTACTCAAAACACAGCCATCAACATCTAAACAGCTGGCAACATAACTGAGTACACCCCACAGTGAACATGTCCAAATTGTGCCTTAAGTGTCAATATTTTGTGTGCCAACCATTATTATCTAGCACTGCCTTAACCCTTTTGGGCATGGAATTCACCAGAGCTCACAGGTTGCTTCAGGAATCCTCTCCCACTCCTCCATGATGACATCATGGAGCAGATGGATGTGAAGACACCTTGTGCTCCTCCACCTTCAGCTTGAGGATGCCCCACAGGTGCACAGGTGAGTTTATCACCTTCACCTTCAGCTTCCTCAGCAAGGCAGTTGTCATCTACTAGGTGTGTTTTGGGCCATTATCATGTTGTCTTGGTGCTCTTCACCAAGGTGCCACACATGCTGAAAGAGCACCAAGACAACTGTCCCATGCCTACAGTCAAGTATAGTGGTGGCAGCATCATGGTTTGGGGCTGCATGAGTGCTGCTGGCTCTGGGGAGCTCAGTTCATTTAGGGAAACATGAATTCCTAGCAGAGCATGATCGCTCCTCTTCAGAAACTGGGCTGCAATGCAGTTTTCCAACATGATAATGACCCTAAACACACCTAGTAGATGACAACTGCCTTGCTGAGGAAGCTGAAGGTGAAGGTGATAAACTCACCTGTGCACCTGTGGGGCATCCTCAAGCTGAAGGTGGGGTAGCGCAAGGTGTCTTCACAACCATCTGCTCCATGATGTCATCATGAAGGAGTGGGAGAGGATTCCTGAAGCAACCTGTGAGCTCTGGTGAATTCCATGCCCAAAAGAGTGAAGGCAGTGCTAGATAATAATGGTTGGCACACAAAATATTGACACTTTAGGCACAATTTGGACATGTTCACTGTGGGGTGTACTCACTTATGTTGCCAGCTGTTTAGATGTTGATGGCTGTGTTTTGAGTAATTTTCAGAGGAAGGTAAATCTATACTACTATACAAGCTGTACACTGACTACTTTAAGTTATATCAAAGTGTCATTTCTATAGTGTTGTCCCATGA